ACGTAAGTTTCTTTCTTTCTTTAAACATAGGAGATTAGAGGGGCACCTGGGTGGCTTAGTTGCTCAAGCATCTGACTTTTGATTTTGGCTCAGGTCATGATCTCACGACTTTGTGGGTTCGAGCCCCACATGGGGCTCTGTGCTAGCAGTGAGGGGCCTGCTTGGGATTCTTTCTCTTTCTCTCTCTCTGTCTCCTCTCTGTCCCTTCCTCACTCGTGCTTTCTCTCTCTTAAAATAAATAAATAAATAAATAAATAAATAAATAAATAAATACTTTAAAAAAAGGAGATTAGGATTAACTACAAGCATAATTCAGAGATACTGCAGGTTTGGTTCCAGAGTGCCACAATAAAGTGAATGTCACAATACTACACTTTTTTTTGGTCTTTTTAAGTAGGCTCCTTGCCCAACATGAGGCTTGAACTCACAACTCTGAGATTGAGAGTCCTATGCTCTACTGATTGAGCCAGCCAGGTGCCGCTCACAATACTATACTTATGTGTGCAAAAGCCTTCATAGACATTTACTCCTGTGAGATGGTAAAGGACTCCCTTTGGCATTTTAGAGATTATTTGAGAGAAAGTAGAAGACATCATGAGTGTAGCACTGGGTGCAAAAAAAGTCTTGGTTAGACTTTTCTAAGCATTGATTTCTTTGTAACTTCACCAAATCTCAGCCAACACACCTGCTTTTATCAGTAATTAAACCTTTGGAGTCACTTCAATAAGAAACACACTACAGTTCTTGGAAAACAGTAGGGGAAAACAAAGTAGAAAGTCCCAAAGGAAACTAGGTTGAGACTGATGGGTGATAATTTTAGAACATTTTAGAAGGTTCTCTGGGTAGGGGTAGGTGGGGTGAGGAAAACCGTACTTTCAGAAAGTTTCTCTGACTTCGCTATGCTTTTTCTCTTTCCATTCCCTCAGCTCGGAATATAGTTTTATTGCATTAATAATAATGTAGTAAATGGCACAGATGAGTGTTGGGCATAGTAGCAGAAATCAGCTTTGTGACTTTGGGCAAGTTACTTAACCTCTCTATACCTTGATTCCTGATCTGTAAAATGAGGATAGTAAGAGTTCATCACAGGCTCATAGGGTTGTTGTAAGGATTAAATGAGTTCATATAGTTACAGTGCTTAAAATAGCATTATGTCATATAAGGGACAATTATATTTACACTAGTATGTAGCGCTCTGCAAACAGAAGTCCTGATTTGTAGCATTTGCTGGTTTCCTTAGTATAAATACTCTTATTATGGCCAATTTCAAGCTACCAACACCTTACACATGCTAACGACATTCCTGGTGTGAGTCTGCTCCAAGGTGCAATTAAATACTGCTGCTGTTATTAGTAATAGCAGTAGCATTACCGCCTAAGATAACCATATTTCATATAGTGGAGGAGTTGAAACTTGGTGCTCTAAAGTCAGACTGCTAGAGTATAAATACTGTTTTCACTACTTGAATATTATCTTGTTAAGCTTCTTCATCTAAGCCATGGAGCTGGGAATAATGGTACCAACTTTAAAGGGTCATTGTGAAGACTAAATGAAATCATCTGTTTTAAATGCTTAGCACTGGGTGGTAAATATTACCTGCTGTTGCTGTTTCTGCTGCTAGTATTACTACTGCTAAAATTATGATTATAGAAATTAGTATTATTTAAGGCCCTTCCACCATCCCTTTTGGCGCCTCTCATTCTTGGTCATGGTATTCTCCAAGCATGCAATGTCTCTCAAGCAGTCCTTGGGCTCCCCAGAACCCTATTGAGCAAGAACAAGGTCTGATGGGAAACCAAAGTTCCTGCATCCTATTTCTGTTTACCTCCCAGCTAACTGCCAAATTGCAAGGGTGTATGAGAAATGAATAAGTCAGACAAGATACTGTAGTGGTTGAAATCAGGGACTTCATGTCCTGGCTCTGCAGCTGATAGCTATGTGGCCCTTGGATAGTCTGTTAACTTCTCTGAGTCTCAGATTCTTCATTTGTAAAATGTGGCTATAATATCACGTGTCTCCTCTTAGAGATGTTGTGTCGATTAAATAAAGTAATGTGTGTAAAATATTTAGCATATTTATTCCTACTAGTCTCCAGTAAGAGGAGTAACATCATAATTGTTGATATTTACTTGTTATGATTATATAGCTTTAAAAATCGTAATAGAATACTCTTAAAAGCTCTAATTAAAGGAATGAGTTGGCACATTTTAGGCAAAGTGGGAAAGTCTAAGACACTTTCTTAAATTGGAGGAATGTATAGCAAAGTGTTTTAACTCTTTCTGTCATAATTGCAAAGTTATCTCCCAACCTCCCTGCCTGGCTGACTTTGTGAACTTGATTGCCTGTTGCTTTACAACTGTCGTTCTGTTACTTTAAAATTGTTCTTAATTTCAGTAGCTCATCTTTATACAAGCTCCTGTGCAGTATTTTCTGAGGAACTCTCTCCTTCTATGTGTTTCCAGACCTTTAAAGTCCTTAAGGGGAACCAGGGTGGCTCAGTCCATTAAGCATCTGATTTGATCTTAGATCCGTGCGTTGGGCTCCATGCTGACAGCAAGGAGCCTGCTTGGGTTTCTCTCTTTCCGTCTCTCTTTGACCCTCTCCCACCTGGTCTCTTTCTCTCTTTCTCAGAACAAAACAAAACACAACAAAAACAACAACAATAACAAACCACATTAAAGTCCTTAAAATAGCAGTTATATAACTGTCTTCTCTAGTTATTTTATGTTTGTATTGTTCATTAGTTTTGTAAACTGAGGAGAATAAAAGGAGCCAGATCATCTACTTGTGAATGTCTTTGTCACTCCTCACTAGTCGCTAGACTGGTACTTACCAATAAAATTTGCTAAGTGAGTGATATAAGGCAACAATCTAAAATGAAATCCTTTCATGGAATTCATAGAATCTTAGAGCTGAAAGAAACTTTAGGGCCAATTTAAGCCATTCTATAGATGAGCAAAACTGAGACACAAAGATGTTAAGTGACTTTCCTGGTAACTTGTAGAGCTGGTAGCAGAACCCTGTTGATCTGAATCCCTGCCCAGTACTTCTAGTCGTGCCCTCTCTATTTCTTCACCTGCATTAGTTACCTATTATTGAAGAAAAATTACCCTCAAATCTAGCAGCTTAAAACTACACTAAACATTTGTTAAAAACATAATTCCCATGGGTCAAGAATTTGGGAGCAGTTTGGGGCACCTGGCTGGCTCCATAGAGCATGTGACTCTTGATTTCAGGGTCATGAGTTCAAGCCACACGTTGGGTGTGGAGCCTACTTAAAAAAAAAAAAAAGAATTTGGGAGCAGGTTAACTGGGAAATTCTGGCTCAGGGTCTTCCATGAAGTTACAGTCTAGGTATCAGCCAGGGCTGCAGTCATCTGGAGGCTTGATTAGAGCTTCAGGATCTGTTTCCAAGTGCCAACTAACATACTGTCAAGTTGGGACTAGTAATTACTGGGAGGCCTCAGCATCTTCCCACATGGGCCTTTCAATGACTTTACCCAAAGTGAATAATCCCAAAGAAAGCCAGACAGAAGCTATCCCTTTCTTGACTTAGGCTTGGAAATTGTACAGCATTACTTCTGTCATATTCTATTAGTTAGGAGTGAATCCCTAACTCTGGCCCACATTCTAAGGATGGAGAATTAGGTTCCATCATTTGAAGGGAGGAACATCAAAGAAGTTGTGGATGTATTTTAAAACCACCACATCACCACAGTCCAAAGTATGTACCAATACGGAAATGTTCTGATTAACTCCCTGAATAATCTTCTTTAGTATTTCTCTTTTGTAAACCCAGTATTGCCCAGATGCCTTGATGTGAAAGTCAAGACCCAACACCTATTTTGAAACATTATTTTCTCCTTTTACTTCCTCATGCACACCCCCTTTAATTCATCCAAACTGGATATTTACTCATCCCTGAAGTCTTTTTGCCATATTTTTTAAAGTTCATTTTTGTTTATTTTGAGAGAGAGAGTGAGCAAATGGTGGAGGGGCAGAGAGAGAGGGAGAGAAAGAATCCCAAGCAGGCTCTGTGTTGTCAGCACAGAGCACAATGTGGGGCTCGATCTCACAATCCATGAGATCATGACCTGAGCGGATATCAGGAATTGAACGCTTAATGGACTGAACCAGGCATCCCCTTTCCGCCATTTTTTTCATAGTTCAAACTGTTTCTTCTATCCAGAATATACTCCCAATAGATCTCTATCCATTAAAATTTTACCGATTCTTCAAAGGCTCAGCTCAAATGCATATCCTCCATAAGGCTGTCCCCAGAGTCATGTTTAAAAGTCATAATTTTAGGGGCACCTGGGTGGCTCAGTCGGTTAAGGTCTGACTTCAGCTCAGGTCATGATCTCACAGTTTGTGGGTTTGAGCCCCATGTCGGGCTCTGTGCTGACAGCTTAGAGCCTGGAGTCTGCTTCAGATTCTGTCTCCCTCTCTCTCTGCCCCTCCCCCTCTCATGCATGCATGGTCTCTCTCTCTCTCTCTCTCTCTCTCTCTCTCTCTCTCAAAAATAAACATTAAAAATTTTAAAACATAAATCAAAGTAATAATTTTCTATGAAAAAAAGTATTTATTTTCTTCCATTTGTGACAGCTTGGATGAAACTTGAGGGTGTTATGTTAAATGAAAAAAATCAGAAAGATAAACATTATATGATATCCCTTATATGTGGAATCTAAAAAAGAGCTGAACTCTGAGCAACAGAATAGAGGTTACCCAAGCTGGGAGGGAGGAGGATATAAGGAGATATTGGTCAAAGGATACAAACTTCCAGTTATAAGGTTGACAAGTTCTGGGGATTCTAATGTATAGTATGGTGATGATAGCTAATAATCCTGTATTATATACTTGAAAGTTGCTAAGAGAATAAATCTTAAATGTTCTTACTACAAAAAAGAAATGGTAATTATGTGACAATATGGAGGTGTTAGCTCATTATTTATTTATTTATTTATTTATTGTTTTATTTATACCATGTTATATGTTATACCATTTTATATGTCAATTTTATCTCATCAAGCTGGAAAAAAGAAAAAAGATTATTAGCAAAAAAAAAGTAATACTTTGTGTGTTTTCATAGCATTTTTTATCTCTTTTCTACCACTTAGCTCATTTACCTTGACATATTCATTATTTGCCTTATCTCCCCTGCTAGTTACAAATTCTTTGAGGCATGAACACCATTGTTCATTTGTATTCATCAAACACAAGATAACACAGTAATGCTCAATAAATCTTTGTTAAATTCTGAGTAGGTCTTTTCATTAAAAAAATGTAATTGAAGATTGGGGCACCTGGGTGGTACAGTCGGTTAAGTGTTCCACTCTTGGTTTTGGCTCAGGTCATGATCTCACAGATTGTGAATTCAAGCCCCACATCATGCTCTGTACTGACATGTGGAGCCTGCTTGGGGATCTCTCTCTCTCTCTCTCTCTCTCTCTCTCTCTCTCTCTCTCTCTCCCTCTGCCCCTCCAGCTTGAGCTCTCTCTCTCAAAATAAATAAACTTAAAGAATGTAATTGAAGGAATATCAAGTTTTCTACTAACTAGATGGGAGGAATCCTTTCATAATGTATATGTATATTAAATCATTGCAATATATACTCAAAATACTTTACAATTAATAATTTCCAAAAAAAAGCTTAAAATTTTCTAGAAGGAATATCAAATTTTTTAATATGAAAATACTGAAGATTGAATCAATTTAAGATTGATAACTTTTTAGGAACTCTCACAATAGCTATCTTAAGTATAGGTATACAGGGGCGCCTGGGTGGCGCAGTCGGTTAAGCGTCTGACTTCAGCCAGGTCACGATCTCGCGGTCTGTGAGTTCGAGCCCCGCGTCGGGCTCTGGGCTGATGGCTCAGAGCCTGGAGCCTGCTTCCCATTCTGTGTCTCCCTTTCTCTCTCTCTGCCCCTCCCCCGTTCATGCTCTGTCTCTCTCTGTCCCAAAAATAAATAAACGTTGAAAAAAAAAATTTAAGTATAGGTATACTACAATCTGAATCAAAATGAATTAACTAGTGGGTATTCTAGAGGTATGATTTCTTTTTTTTAAGAACAATATTGCCACCTAATGGAGAAATAGATTTCGGACTTTTCAAAAGGGACGTGGGCCAGGAAGACTTAAAATTCAGGCAAAAGATACTGGTTTGTGGGAAAAAATAAGGTGGTTCTCTGAAATCCAAAATATGGAAGATTTAGGGCAGGTGTAGAGGCCCGTGAACTTAAAATGAGGGGAGTATACAGATAAAGGAAGAAAATTAATTATACTGTGTATATGGAATTCACTATACAAATGAAAAGAGGCTAGTTAAACTTAGATTATCAAAAAAATATTCAAAGCATAAATTTTAAAGAAAAAAATGATTTCTATCTATGTAATTAACAGAAGGAGCATACATTGGTAGGTTGCAGTTATTTTAAAATAATTTGTTTTAGTCTATCTTCTTTTGACAGTGATAATACCCATTGCAGCAAATTTAGCTGATAAAAAAGAAGAAAATTAAAGGCCCTCTCCTCACAGTTATACTACCTAGAGATAACCATTAAATATTTTGGTCTATTTTCTTTCTCTTTTTCTTCCTCTATGTAGAGACGTTTAAAAATACATGGCATTTTAGAGGGCGCCTGGGAGGCTCAGATTGTTAAGCATCCAACTCTTGATTTCAGCTCAAGTCATGATCCTGGGGTTGTAGGATCGAACCCCGTGTCCGACTCCATGCTGAGCATGGAGCCTACTTAAGATTCTGTCTTTCTCCTTCTGCCTTTCTCCCCCATCTGTCTTTCTCTCCCTCTCTTCTGCCTTTCTCTCCCTATGCTCCCCCTCTTCTCTTTCTCTCTCTCTCAAATAAATAAATAAATAAATAAATAAATAAAAGCCATCTTTCAAATATATATATATGCTAATTTTTAAAAAATGAGGTTATTATGTACAAACTGTTACCCTGACTTTTTCACTTTTATTGTGAACATTTTTCAATGCCATTACATATTTTTTTTTCTTCTTTTTTTTTAAAAAGGTACTGTTTTTTAAAGTTTATATTTATTTTGAGAGAGACAGAGAGACAGAGACAGAGAGAGAGGGAGAGAGAATCCCAAGGAGACTCCATGCTGTCAGCGCAGAGCCAGATGGGGGGCTCAGTCCCACAAGCTGTGAGATCATGACCTGAGCCGAAACCAAGAGTCAGACACTTAACTGAGTGAGCCACCCAGGTACCCCTCAATGCCATTACATATTTTTCTATAAAATCTTTTGACTAGTCGAGGCATATGTATCATGATTTATTAGGTAAGATGTATCATGGGTAGATGTATCATGATTTATTAATTAGTCCCTCATTGTTAGACATCTGAACTTTTTTCTAATTTTCCACTATTATAAACTGATGAACACCTAGGTAACAAAATGTTTTTCTACATCTGTAATTAGTATTTAGGATGACTTCTCTGAGGTGGAATTTGTAGGTTAAAGAACATAAACTTTTAAAGGTTTTTGATAGGGGCCACCTGGGTGGCTCAGTCAGTTAAACATCTGATTCTTGAGTTTGGACCAAGGTGGACCCTGTGTCTGCCCTGGGTCAGGCTTCGTGCTGAGCAGAGCCTGCTTGGGATTCTCTCTCTCACTTCTCTCTCTCCCTCCCTTGCTCGTGTGCTCATGTTTGCTCTCTCTCTCAAAAAAAAAAACTTAAAAAAGATTAAAAAAAATTTTTTTTGAGAGAGAAAGAGACAGAGAGAGAGAGCAAAGCAGGGGAGGATCAGAGAGAGAGGGGGACAGTGGATCCAAAGTGGGCTCTGTGCTGACAGCAGTCAGCCTGATGCAGGGCTCAAACTCAAGAATCACAAGATCATGACCTGAGCTGGTCAGTCGCTTAAACAACTGAGCCACCCAGGCACCCCAAAAAGAACAGTTTTTGGTAGGCATTACCTAATTATCTTTAGAAACATTTGTTAATTTATGGATTTTGAAAGGTCCATCTTCCCACACACTAAGATGATAGACATTTCCATAAACTTAATGAACACTGACATTAATTTTCAGTCTTTAATGATATCAGAAGCCATTTTTAAAAAAATGTATGAAAAATACAGAGAGAAAAATACAGATCATATAAAATGGAGATTTAATACACTTGGGACAGAGATCACAGGATAATTATTAAGTATAAGGGAGGACAATAGTAGATATAATAATAACTAGCTGGTATATTAAATGGTTACTATTCTAGCTAGGTACTTTACATGTATTGTTTGTTATTTAATCATGGCCACACCCTATGAGCTAGTTACTATTATTATTCTCTTCTTATTCCTGGAAACCTGAGACTTAGAGAAGTGATTTGCCCAGAGTCAAACAGTTGTCTCATGGGACACTCTACTGCCTTTTTTAATGGATTAGATGGAGTATGCTTATTTCAGCCTGACTGATTGCCAGTAAATGTAGACTACAATATAGCTTTAAATTAGCTTACTTTTCTTGGCCTAGAAGAGTTTTATGTCCTTTTTATTCCATGTATACATGTTTTTAGGACAGAAGGATCCATCTGTGAGAATCATAGGGAGATGTATTTTAGATTAATACTAGGGAGAATTTTCTAAAAATGGGAACTATGAAAGGCTAGTCTAATGAATTAATGACATTTGAATTTGTGATACTTCTGTCTCTAGATATTTTTCTCATAGAAAGAATCCTACATTAAGTGAGAGATTGTCTGGTGTGACTTTTAAGGTCCCTTTCAATTCTAAAATATTGTGTTTTTTTTTTTTTTTCGGGGCGCCTGGGTGGCGCAGTCGGTTAAGCGTCCGACTTCAGCCAGGTCACGATCTCGCGGTCCGTGGGTTCGAGCCCCGCGTCGGGCTCTGGGCTGATGGCTCAGAGCCTGGAGCCTGTTTCCGATTCTGTGTCTCCCTCTCTCTCTGCCCCTTCCCCGTTCATGCTCTGTCTCTCTCTGTCCCAAAAATAAATAAACGTTGAAAAAAAAATTTAAAAATAAATAAATAAATAAATAAAATATTGTGTTTTTAAAGTGTAATCTCTACACCCAACGTGGGACCTGAACTCCTGAGATCAAGAGTCACACACTCCTCCAACTGAGCCAGCCAGGTGTCCCAATTCTAAAATATTATGATTCTATGAGTCTACATGCCTAAATGAAGATATTTGGCAAATATGATTATGAGAACAACTTGTCTGTTCTGGGAACTGTTGTTCATGAATAACTTTTTAGAAACTCAATACTGATCTTGTAAGTCTATAGACGATTGGTGGGAAATATGGTACTCACGGGTAGGGACATGGAATTTTCCTGTGTGTTCAGGATTAAGAAATAATGTATAACAGAAAATGTTTTTTTATTGAGAATTTTCCAGGAATGTGCCTCAGTCACCCTCATTTCCTATTGATCTTTTTTTTTCTTTTGTTATTGTAATTATAGCTCAAGGAGAATTTAAGGAACATGGAGCGGAAACATCAGGAGACTCTTAGAAGATTGGAGGGCAAGTTTTTTGAAGAAAAGGTACAACACTTTAGTGTTAATTAAGAAATATTTTGTTTTTAAAAAGAAGAAATATTTTGTTTACTAAAACATTATAAGTATCTATATGCACTCTGAGACATGTCAACCTTTCTTTTGGTATCTTATTATTTTTTTTTTAAATTTTTTTTTCAACGTTTATTTATTTTTGGGACAGAGAGAGACAGAGCATGAACGGGGGAGGGGCAGAGAGAGGGAGACATAGAATCGGAAACAGGCTCCAGGCTCTGAGCCATCAGCCCAGAGCCCGACGCGGGGCTCGAACTCACGGACTGCGAGATCGTCGGACGCTTAACCGACTGCGCCACCCAGGCGCCCCGTCTTTTGGTATCTTATTAGAGGATTGTTTATCAAATCACAGCAGATAAAAAAATAGGGAAAATGAAACCTGTTCTAGATATCTCAGTGTCTAGTCAGAGATTCTTGAAATCCTAAAGAGGGATTGTTATCTTACCGAAGCTTCAGGACACAGTCCCTTCAGCTTGGTGTTCCCCTAGTGGAAGGAAAGCTGCATGTAGCACATTATATAGGGGGATGAGATGGGAGAGGTCATTCTGGTACACATGATGGTGTTTCCTTAGTCAAGCCAAGCTAAGCTAAGGGTGTTAATAAAAAGGGGGCTCAAAAATGTTCCTTAGCATATTACAAACTTCTACATTTCTCTGTGCCTCTGACATTAATTCTCCAAATCGTGGGAAGTGCATTGGAACACTTCTTTGCAAGCTTTTCAGAGGACCCATGGTTTTTCTTTAAGTCTTCTAAACTTTCCTTTGTTCATTCTTAGGGAAGAATTGAACAGATTTCTTTCAGAAACTGGTAGGGATGTAGGAAGTTGAGGGTGGGGCAAATAAGTACTCATATCAGGTTTAGATAAAAAATTTGCCATAAAAAGTGGCTCTAGATTTCCCGTTTCTGTATTAAATAACCTAGGAATGGGGCAGGAGCAGCATCTTGGTGCTTTCCTTCTCAGGCACTTCCTGGCACTGTTAGGAGTGGAAGTCCTCAGGAATGGGCTGCTCTCACTTGCCTTTTTCCCTCTATCCCACCCCCTAAGCTTGTTTGTTCTCTTCTCTGCTAAGTGCAGCATTTCCACAAACAAAGGTTAGGAGCGCTTCGTCAGATTGCAGCATACATGTCTGACAGTGCCTATATAAATAGGATTTTTATGTCTGGAAGTAGGTGGCTGCTGGCCTTTCCCTCATAGTTGCAAGATGGTTAATGCAGCTCTAAGATTTGTCTGTGTTTAAGACAGGAAGAAGGGAAAGCTTTCCCAGAAGCTCTTAGCAGATTTTGTCTTACATCTATCTCATTGGTCAGAGCCATGTTATATTGGATGCTGAAAGTAAGTGTTTTTTTCCAGACACTAGTGAAAGCTGGAAAGGGAGGATGGGAATGAGTATTGGGATGGCCAGCCACAGCAGTAGCTGTCTCACTATGTTCGGTGTAAATTTCATGGTTAGGTACGAACTCCTGTGCTGGTTTGAACCCCAGTGCTGCTGGTTTATGGCAGAGGCTTTCCGGTAAGCCCTGTTTATTTGTCTCTTACTATAGTGTGCTCCACCTGGTCATATAAAGGACATCCCTCAGGTTATAGGTGTTTTGTTTCCCTATTTAATCCTTTCTGTTCCTTGAACCACCAAGCCCTTTCCCAATGACATATTTTTGTACTTGGTGTTCCTTTCTGGAATGTTCTTCCTCCAGCTCTGGCTCTTCTCATTCTTAGGAGCTCAAATGTCATTTCCTCAGAAATCGATTCCTTAAACCCCAATCTAACATAATCTCCCCCAGTTACTATCTATCTCATTACTCCATTTATTACATTCACAGCATTCATCACAGTTTGTTAATTCTCTCGTTTGTTTGCTTGTTAGGGAGCAAACAAGCATCACATTGCCTGCATATGAATCTCTGCTCTGCCACTTACCAGCTATCTGACTTTGGGCAAGTCACTAACCTCTCTTTCCCTGTTTCCTCAGTCCTTGTTCTTGGTGATAATAATAGTGTCTAATTTTGAGGGTTGTTGTGATAGGTAAATAATACACATAAAGCTCTTAGAACCATGCCTGGCACATGGTAAAAGCTCAGTGCACTTTAATTATTATCGTTGTTTGGATCTCACCTAGAATACAAGGTCTGTCAGAACAGGGACCTTATCTGTTTTTTTTCACCACAGAATCTCCAGCATCTAAAAAATCTGATACAATACTAATGCTCAATAGGGATTTGTTGGATAAATAAATGACTCTAACCACATTGTATTTAGCAGAAATTTATCCCAGCTCCACTTTCCAATATTGATGTGGACTTTTTTTTTTTCTATTTATGTGTCATATTGCTTCTTTAATGGGGAGACCAGATGGTACCCTGAGGTTCCTGTGTTCACACTATCCTCTTTGCTAGCTATTCCACCAGTACTTGGAGTTCTTCACACTAGGTCATGTGGACAGGAGTATTTTGTTTGGCATTATAAAATAAATACTTCACTTTTTGATGTGTAAATTTGTTAGAAATATAACTCTATTAAAATAGCCTACAGGCACCTGGGTGGCTCAGTTCGTTAAGCATCTGACTCTTGATTTCGGCTTAGGTCATGATCTCACAGTTAGTGAGATTCAGCCCCTTGTTGGGCTCTGCCCTGACAGCTGAAGGCCTGTCCTTCAGCCGCCTGAAGGCGGCTCTCTCTTGCCGCCACCACCCCCAAAATAAATAAGTAAACTTAAAAAAAAAGTCTGTTTTCTTTTTTAGCATCGACTAGAACAAGAGGCTGAAAAGAAGATAATAATGCTGGCAGAGAGAGCTCACCATGAAGCTATCGCGTAAGAGACTGCTGCCTCCTTTTTCTTTTTCATAGCTTTTCTTAACTTTTTGCTGGTCTGTTTTGTTCTCATCATATTGTCTTCTCCCTTCTCTCTTGGTTTGCTTTCTTCAAATTTTCTTGTTTACATTCCCTCGTTATTTCTTTCTCTTTGTGTCCCCGCCCCTTTTTCACCCACCCTTTCTGCAGCAAGGTGGTGTGGAGGAAATAACCCTGGCTTTGAAGTTAGACTTTGGTTCTCAACATGTATACCGACATGACTGTTGGAAAATTTCCTAACCTTTTTGAAATTAAATTTCTTCATCTAAAAACGGGGTTAATCATAGCAACTGTATAGAGTTGTCATGAGGTATGTTAGTGAAAGTAACATTTAATTGTGTTAATAAATTCCGAAGTCTCAATGGTTTAGTTCTTGCTTAACAATCCAGTATAAGTCTGATAGCTCTACTTGAGTGGTGATTCAGGAACTGGGGCTGTTTCTATCTTGGACTTCTTCCATCCAGTCATATGGACAGGAGAGAGCATGGAAACCCATCTGCTCCTAACTGCCTTGGACTGGAAGTAACACGTAACTTTTCACTTTCCATTGGTGAAAACTTAGTGACATCCCCCACCTCTTTTGAGTCCCTACCATAAACTAAATATGTCGTGGTCATTATTTTTAATGTTGGGGGATAAGGCAGTCATTGTTCTAGTTTGGTAATATCTAAAACTTAACACCTGTGTTTTGGGATCATATCTATCTATTTCAGGCAACTGAACCATGCTGGAAGAGCCGTTTTTAAAGAGAATGTTTATCTCCAGAAAGCCCTCGCATACCACCTGAAGGAAGCTGATGCTCTACAAAAAAACTCCCAGAAGTTGCAAGAGACTCAAACTTTCCTTTTACATCAGAAGGTTCCCACTCCATTTGGACTTTCTGGGTTTTTTGTTTGTTTGCTCGTTTGTTTATTTAAGGATTGGGTTGGTAAATATGAAGAATTGAGTGTAATAATGATACATGAGGACTTTGGGACAATTTTTATTCTGTCTGGATGATGTACCTTTCTTATTTGAAAGGATTAATTCTGAGAATGACATAAGAAGTATTTGACTTGGGATGCCTCAGTGGCTCAGTCAGTTAAAGAGTCCAACTCCTGATTTCTGCTCAGGTCATGATCTCACAGTTCGTGGGTTCAAGCCTCATATCAGGCTCTGTGCTGATAGCACGGAGCCTGCTTGGGATTCTCTGCCTCTCTCTCTCTCTCTCTCTCTCTCTCTCTCTCTCTCTCTGCCCCTCCCTGAGCATGTGCTCTCTCTCTGTCTCTCTCAAAAATAAATAAATAAATAAATAAATAAATAAATAAATAAACAAACAAACAAACAAACATAAAAAAAGAAGTATTTGACTTGGCTTTATAAAGAATATATCAGAAACATAAATGTAAACCCTATCCTCTACTACCTTAGAATACTCATTTTACTTTGCTTAGAGTTGGTCTCTGATTACTGGTTTGGAATAGGTTCAGCTGTAACCGCCCCAACAACAGTGGCTTTACCATGTAAGGGTTTATTCTCTCCTCTAAATGAAGTCTGGAGGTTAGCAATCCAGAGCTGGAAGGGTAATGCCACAAAGTCAACAGAGACTCAGTTTCCTTAACTCTGCTGGGCAACGTATGGCTTACATCCCCAAAGTTACTTCATGGCCCAAAGCAGCTGCTAGATCTCTAACCATTACCCAGAAAGCAGGAAGGAAGAAGGACAGGAAGGAAAAATTATGCCCCCCCTCCCCTTTAGAAGTCTTCCTGGAAGTCCTGCAAACACTTCTACTTACATTTCATTGACCAGAACTTAGTTACATAGCTTTGCTGAACTGCAAGGGAGACTGGGAATTTTCAATTGGGCTTCCTGCCTTCCTGAAAAAAAAACAAAAACAAAAACAAATGGAGTTTTATTACTAAGGAGGAAAGGGAAAATGGAAAAGGGATGGGCCACTAGCCTATAGGCTAGGATAGGCAACATTTTCCAGTATATAGTTGTTAATGTTTTACTGTATAATCTTATTGATTTTGAAATTACCCATTTCGATAATATAAAATATTTAAACTATTGGAATTTTAGAGAAAGGAAAGTTTCTTAATCAGCAAAATTAGTGGCCTTCACAAGTCCAGAGAAGAACCCTGAGATGTTTTTTCTCTCGGTACACAGAATACCAAATATCATCATCTCAACCTGGTATCAAATTTAAGCTAATGATGTAATGGAAACTAGTGAGGAACTTTTAAGTTTTGAAATTGATTAAAGAAAATCAACTCTCTCATCTTTGTTTTTAGGAAATCAATGATCTGTTGGTTAAGGAAAAGATAATGCAGTTTGCCCAGCAGAGATTACAAATCCAAACTCTTCAGAAAAAGGTGGTAAGCTTGGAGACTGCCCTGAGTTGTATGACCAGAGAGTTTGAGGCTGAAGTTCTAAAAATGCAGCGACAGGCAATGATAGAGAACCAAGCAGGTCAGGTTGAAATTGACAAGCTGCAACATCTTCTCCAGATGAAGGACAGGGAAATGAATCGAGTGAAGAAGCTGGCCAAGAACATACTGGATGAGAGAACAGAAGTGGAAAGTTTCTTTTTAGATGCTCTGCACCAAGTGAAGCAACAGATCCTACTTGGCAGGAAGCATTACAAAAAGGTAGCACAAGCTGCTTTCAATTTTAAAATGAGAGAGGCATGTGCAGGAAGAACAGAATATCCCCAGATCCGAACGTTTGATGGCAAAGATCACAGCACCAATAGCGTAACTCAAGATCTTATGGAGGCTGAGAAATGGTACTAATCATGGCTTTAATATTTTATCCTTTGTGCAGCTATTTTTGTGCCCTTTAGAGAAATAAGCACTCTGAGGAGTTCAGTTACATAATATCTAAGTATTGAATAGATTACTCACTAAGTTACTCGAAGATAGGAACTGTCTTACCTGTCTTTATAACCCCTGTGCTTAGCACTGTGTGTGGGGCTTAGTAGGTATTCTTAGTAGATTTCCTTTTTTCAAGACAGAGACTTATTAAAGAGACTAGATCATTTGTTCCATAGAATGTCATTGTAGTATCTTTGAACATGTTCTTTATTTTCTTTTCTGTAAATTCATTATAAAGGTGTGATCAGATTCAGGTTAAACATTTTTGATAAGCTTACTTTCACAAATATTTTGTAACGTTCCTTTCACTGAGATGAAATTCATAGATAATATCTAACTAAACATATAATTTAAGAAATCAACATAACAGTTCTTTGTAATAATTCTTTGTTGCACAGAACTGTTCTATGGGTTGGAGGACATCCAGGAGTGGGACCCCATTATGGTACTGACCAAAAGTCCTTGCAAGTTTCCAAAATACATGCTACAGATCTACTGCCACCATAATAAAGGTAGCAGGATGCTTGAGACAGTTGTAGACTTTATACAATGACTGTTCCCTGTTAGCATTTCTGTCTGTCAGTGCACTCTTAACTCCTATGAACCATAAATTAGAGTGCATTTTAAAGATATTCTGAAAAAAAAAGTTTTATCTCCCAGTGCAATTAGGTTCTTCAAAGGCCTTAGCTTGAGAAACTTAAAAGGACTCCCTACTACTATGTACTGAACACCTTATTAACAGTGCTTCCAAATGTGTTTTCTGATTTATTTTTTAATGGATTAATTAGTAGGTTCTTTTAAACTATGTATCTGTTGGGAAGGTTGGACATGGTCAGTGGCTTCTGAAAGATAAGACTGTTTTCTTCAAAATGTCCATACCATAATTTTTTAAAACCTTTTTGCCATATTTAGAAGTCTATTACTTGTATTACCAGTAATTTCTCTGTAATTTCCTCTTTTTAAAAAAATTTTATTTGAGGGGCGCCTGGGTGGCTCAGTCGGTTGAGCGTCTGACTTCAGCTCAGGTCATGATCTCACAGTCTGTGAGTTCGAGCCCCGCATGGGGCTCTGTGCTGATGGCTCAGAGCTTGGAGCCTGCTTCGGATTCTGTTTCCCTCTCTCTCTGCTCCTCCCCTGCTCATGCTCTGTCTCTCTCTGTCTCAAAAATAAATAAAAACATTAAGAAAAAAATTAAAAAAAATTTATTTGAGAGAGAGAGAGAGCATGCGAGTGGGGGAGAGAGAGAGAGAGAGAGAGAGAGAGAGAGAGAGAGAGAGAGAGAGAATCTTAAGCAAGCTCCACGCTTAGCACAGAGCCTGATGTGGGGCTTGATCACATGACCCTGGGATCATGACCTGAACTGAAATCAAGAGCTGGATGCTCAACCAACTGAACCACCCTGGTGCCCTGTCCTCTTTTTAATTTAAATTTAATGTTTTTTTTTAACGTTTATTTATTTTTGGGACAGAGAGAGACAGAGCATGAACGGGGGAGGGGCAGAGAGAGAGGGAGGCACAGAATCGGAAGCAGGCTCCAGGCTCTAAGCCATCAGCCCAGAGCCTGACGCGGGGCTCGAACTCACGGAGTGTGAGATCATGACCTGAGCTGAAGTCGGACGCTTAACCAACTGAGCCACCCAGGTGCCCCATGTCCTTTTTTTAATTTAATACATCAAACAAGTTGAGTCCCTAGCATACATATGCCAGTCTATTTAACATTTTTTTGTCTGCAAAGTGGTATTTCAGAGAGAGGTATATAAAATGATTCTCCACGTTGTTATTGCAGAAACTGGACTCTTCCTCTTCTGCCCTGTGTGACATTTTTGCTACTGAACAACTTCTCACCTTAACCTCAGTGTTCTATTGCCTGTACCAGCAGGGCAGAAATGGTGATTAAAATATTACATCATCTGCTTAAGAGGCAGATTGGGGAAGGACAATTTAAGTATATGGTGATCATAAGGCAAAACCTAAACTTTTAAAGAAAACTAACCCAACTGATGTATATGCAAAAACATTTCTTACATTGTGAAACACAGTACTCTCTACAGTGTCAGCCAGCTTTCATAAATAGTAAATAGACTACAAATCTTCTGGGAAAGTTATAGTATAGCCAAAGACCTGCCTGGAAAGCTTAGCTGCAGCCTTATTTGGAAGTAGGTAAATAGACTAGATAAATTACGTGTTATTTTCTAAACGTACCTCTTGTCACTCTGTTTTCATAGCAAAATATCTTATACAAAAAGAAATGTTAAAAGGAATTTATCAATAATCTCACCTTGTAAACAACCAGTTTTTGTTGTATTGTTCCTTTTCTTTTTGTATCTGGATGCATAATGTTATATTACAACTTTTTGCCCTTTTGCTTAATGTTTGAGCACACATTTTTTTGTGTTATAGTTTTTCTTATTTTTATCGTAAAGACTACATAGCATTTCAGAATGGCTAGCATATTGATATCCTCTTCAACTTCGTGATTTTTGTAATGGACACAGTTTGCTTTGTAGTCATTATATTTGGAAACCTCATAATAGTTACAGTTTGGAAATTTTCTTTTCTCATATTTACATATTTTAAATTTTAAAAAGGAGAGATGCTTACTTTGGCCATTTTGCCTTTGAAATTCTTCAGGACGGATATTCAAGGAAATGTGGATATTGAAGATTTGACCTGGGAGCAAAAGGAGAAAGTCTTGCGATTGCTCTTTGCAAAAATGAATGGTTTTGTTTCCAGGTAACTCCTATTTCTGTAGTGAAATACCAAGGTGTTACCAAACCTAGAAACCATATAGGAAGAATGAACTTATTCTCACTTAGAATTAAAGGAATGGGAAAGGATCAGAAAATGGAAAAGGGTCATGCTGCTTAGCACCTGTCACTCCCAGAGATGAATGATGGGAGATGAATGAATGAGCACAGAAATGAAAGATTTATTAAAGGGGGGAGAAAAGAGACTGATCTTAGATGTTTAAGGTAATGCTTGCTAGGAAGGTACAGCATTGTTCAGCTGAATGAGTGGTCACTGAAGAGAAGCAAAATAATTATTAAGATTTTATTGGTAAAAAAAGATTGTATTGGTTTGCAAAAACAAGTAAGAGATTTTTAAGCTGATTATTGATTTAGAGACTCTCTAATACCAAGATAAAGACCTAGAGAGGAAAACAGAAATTCACAGATACTCCAAATCATTCTTTTTAATGATTCGTTTCACTCTCTTTCTCCACTATGCTTTACTGGTACTGAACTATAAAGTGGCTAAAATAAATCAACCTCTTATTAATTGCTTGTTACATGTTTGGTACTGTGTTAGGTACTGTGAACATTTGCAGGAATTAAGAGACATTGCCTTTGATTACAGTTTCTAATCTAGTTGCCCAAACAAAACCAAACATAGCAAAGAAAAAAATCAGGTGGCACAATAAAGTATCACTGGAGTTCAGACAACATGTCAGTGTCCTACAGCAGTTAGGGAAGACTTCAGTGAAGAAAACTGAAAGAGTGTGACGCTGCCGGGTGCCTTGTAGGAGAGTGGAATAGTAGACAGAGTGGGAAGGGTACATAAGGGGCTTTGTAGACAGCCTATGCAGAAGCCCAGAGGTAGGAATAGAGGTGGGATGTTTGAGGAACATTGAGGAAAACTTCATGGCTTGAGGAAAATGGTGGCAATGAGAGTAATTAGTAATTAGAAATAATGCTGGGGCACCTGGGTGGTTCAGTCAGTTAAGCATCTGACTTTGGCTCAGGTCATGATCTCACAGTTCATGGGTTTGAGCCCCACATCTGGCTCTGTGCTGACAGCTCAGAGCCTGGAGCCTGCTTCGGATTCTGTGTCTTCCTCTCTCTCTGCCCCTCCCCTGCTCGTGCTGTCTGTCTCTCTCTCAAATAAAAATAAACATTAAAAAACAAATTAAAAAAAAGAAACAAGGTTGGATCTATAGATTAAATTATGATGAGCCTTAAAAACCATGCTGAGGGGCGCCTGGGTGGCGCAGTCGGTTAAGCGTCCGACTTCAGCCAGGTCACGATCTCGCGGTCCGTTGAGTTTGAGCCCCGCGTCGGGCTCTGGGCTGATGGCTCAGAGCCTGGAGCCTGTTTCCGATTCTGTGTCTCCCTCTCTCTCTGCCCCTCCCCCGTTCATGCTCTGTCTCTCTCTGTCCCAAAAATAAATAAATGTTGAAAAAAAAAATTAAAAAAAAACAACAAAAAACATGCTGAAAAACCTTAACGTATCCCACTGTTATTCTAAAGTAGTATAACATACTTTCCTTTTCTGCCTTGAAGGAATACAAGAGCGATAAGCCCTACTCTCATACTGTCTCACTGAAAGGGTTCATAAGCCACTGTTCCCAGAGCTGACCTTAACCTAATGCAGTGACACATATACATAGGATGGACTGCAGGACAAAAGTAGAGTTGGGAACCAGCAGAAGCTGCCATGTTACTCTGGACGTGCGGCAGTGCAGGGTGTGGGCAGGAGTGGAAAAGGGGAGAAACTGAGGCACTTAGGAAGGAGAGACAGGACTTAGTGATAAAAGGCAAAAGAAATCAAGAAAACAAAGTATAAATGTTTAAGGCGTTTAGCTTAGAAGTGCACGACTGGTGGTATGAAAGGCAAGTGAAAAACCTGGAAAGCCAATGTGAAGGAAATGTTTACATTTTATTTAATCCATCCATTAATTCATGTAGCATATACATATTGAGCGCCTACTATTTATTGAGGATATAGTGTTGAGCAAATAAAGACATCATTCCTAATCTCAGGGAGTTCATCGTCTATGTGGGAAGAAAACATTATTCAAATCATCACACAAATATTAAAGGACAACTATGAGATTGGCTCAAAGAAGTGGCATACAGTGGTAAGAGAGGCTAGATTAAGGGACTATGACCCAATTGAGGAGGTCAGGAAAGTTTATGAGGAAATAAAAGCTTGAGCTGACCTCTGAAAGGTATATAGGAAGAGAGGGTAGAGGAAAAAACATTCTGGGCAGAAGAAATAGCAAGGAGTGTTTTCGATGTTGAACTGGAGATGATGGCAGTATATTGAAACGAAAAATACTCTTTGATTCGAGTACAGGTGTTTAGAGAAGGAGATTTGAGCATATTTAGTAAAAATTGGTAGTTGAGTGTAGGAGGTTGTATGAAGGTAGAAGGGTAAAGGGCCAAGGCTAGAAATAACCACAGCAGTTAACAGGAGAACAAGGAAGAGGACAGCCAAAAGAGAAGAGTTTAAAGAATTTTAGGCTAAGTGGAAGATGGAAGACTTTGAAATGGTCTTTTGTCTCTGGGAGCCTTCCAAAGAGTCTTATTTTATTTTATTTTTTTTATTTAGAGGGGGAGGTAGAATCCAGACTATAGCTACAGAATGTCTGTCTCATTGTGAGTTGACTTTTCTGTACTCCAAGAAACAACCAGAGTTCTAGGTCTCAAGTTTCATACTATATTGTTTTCAATACTGCAGAAACGAAGAAATGTGAGTGAAATCTTCGCACCAAAGCAATGAAGTTAAATCTAGCTGCAATGGAATGATGTCTAAGCCTGTTGGAATCTCATATCAGAGCTGGTTGAAGGGAAAAGAAGATGGGAATCAAATAGTGAAATGTGTGGTGAAGATGAGATTAAATGAGAAAGCTCAAACCAGACTGGGGAGAGATTAGATGATAAATGGTCTACCAGGGCAAGCAGAGCAGTTAGGAAGTTCATTAAGAGTTCAATTGATTGTATGATTGTGAATCTAACAGTATGCTATTTTTGTGATTGAACAAAGTCAAGGAGTATAACCAATAAACTGCACTCTTTAGTGCACCAGCAACCACACTGGCTATAACTCAGGTACTAGTAGTATCCGAAGTACATTTTTAAAAATTAAATGTTTATTTATTTATTTTGAGAGTGAGAGAGACAGCACATGTGCAAGCACATGAATGCAGGGGAGGGGCAGAGAGGAGGGAGGGAGAGAATCCCAAGCAGGCTCCACATTTAGCATGGAGCCCGATGTGGGGCTCAGCCTCATGACAGGATCATGACCTGATACCGAGAGTCAGACGCTTAACCAACTGAACCACCTAAGAACCCCCAAAGTATATTTTTCTCATGCATAATTATTAGACTATTTAATATAGTCATATTTTGAATGGGTTTATTCTGCTTTCCTATGTACCAACTTGAGGACAAGTTTTAGAAGTGGAGCATGTGTCCTTACCTGCTGGCAAATCAACCTACTATGCCTTTTTTTTTTTTTTTAAGATTTTATTTTTATGTAATCTCTACACCTAATGTGGAGCTCAAACCCACAACCCTGAGACCAAAAGTCACATGCTCTACCAATTGAGCCAGACAGGCACCCCCCTACTGTACTTTTTATAATCCTGTTCAGCTCACTTTCCATTAGAGTATTCAATCAGTGATATGATTACTTCCTGTTCTTAAACCAAACTTGCCAAAGTATGAGGAGAAATTTTCATACTGGGTCCATCACCATTGGATATTTTTTCTATGTTCTGAGGTTCTTTTTGTGGGAAGGGAATTTCTCTGGCCATGTTTTTGGTCAGTACTCTGGTTCAGTCTTAAGCATCACCATTAATAGCTATTGGAGGAATATCATCATCATGATTATTACTTAAGCATCCGACTCTTGATCTTGGTAGTGACTCAGGTCATGATCTCACAGTTGATAGGATTAAGCCCCGATGGGCTTTGCACTCTTAGCGTGAAGCCTGCTTGGGATTCTCTCTCCCTGTCCCTCCTCTTTTCATGCACATGTGCGCATGCTCTCTCTCAAATAAATACACTTAAAAAAAAAAGCACAGTTGAAATATGGGACAAGAGGAGACACTGCCTCATTGTTAACTTTTATCTACCACAGAAAATATAGCCAGAGCTCTAGGCCTTCAGTTCCAGACTATGTTGTTGCTGATGATGGAGAAACAAAGGAATTTGGGTAAGAGCTGTCTTGACAAGGTAATGAACGTGAGCCTGATCACAGTGGTTGTGGTGGACATTTTATATGTGCCAGAACTGAGTGGGAGTTGTAGGACAAGTCTATTGCTCTGAACCAAGTTCCATGTATATGTGGTTGTTGACAGGTCTGTCATTTTGTTGTCATTGCAGGGATGACAGTAAGCTTCAAGATCAAACCTTCATCACCCAGCAAGTACCAATCTCAGACTCTTCTGGTGAACTGATGATACCCAATATTCAGAAAGAATCACAAGAGTCTGATATAGTAAGGAGTCTATAATCTAAACACTTCCTTTCCCCCATGGAACTTCTTGCTAAGTCATAGTGCTTTTCTCTACTAGCCAAGAGCTCTCAGTGATCAGTGAAATGAGTAATAACACATGTATAGCATGTCTACACTATGGCAGGCATATTATACTTAATGCTAATGCACATTTGTGCCTCTTTTAGTAAATGTGGTAAAACCTATAAATTGTCTTGTGAAGTATAAAGGCTAGCCAAAATATGTACTTTTATGTAATAATAAGCATAATGACCATATTATGTAATAATAAACATAATGGCTTTGAACAGAATTGGGAAGTCTGAATCCCTATAAGCTAGGGACAAAGGAATTATGTAGGAAGGCATTATTAAAAACAAAAAGCCAGGGGTACCTGGGTGGCCCAGTTGGTTAAACGTCCAACTCTTGATTTCGGTTCAGGTCACGATCTCACAGTTCAT